TACTAATATTACAGGAAGCAACACCATCTTGCGAAGCTTCCGTTACTGGAAATGGTGACGGGTACAATCCCGAGAATAATGTCCAGGAGTACCACATGTATAACAAATTCTTGAAGACTTATTTGGTGTTGAATTACGTGATGGACTAAAATAAAAAGAATTCTTATAACGTGAATTATGCTCACCCTTTGTGTCTAAAAGTTCTTGTTGTGGATATTAAACATTTTTGTATTCATTGTGTTCATGTTGTCCTTCAGGAGTAGCGATTGGTGATAATGATTGCTGAAATGTATGAACATCTTGTGATTCATTATATTGATGTATTATATAATTAGTTTTAGTAAAAGATAATGTATCTTCTACTTTTCTTGCATATGATAAAAATGTTTCAATCGTTTGTGGATTATATAAAGCAATATGTAACTTTAATGATTCTTTTACACCAGCAATTAAATATTTTAATTTTAATGAATCAGGCATAGCTGGATCAACTTTCTTACATAATTCAATAATTTTATCATAATATTGTGTAATAGATTGATTAACCGTTTGTTTGTACCATTTTAATTGTTCAAAAGCTAATTCTTGTACCTTCGTTGATCCAAAAGCCTTTGTAACAGCTTCAGTAAATAATGACCATGATTTAATCATCGTAGATATTTGTGTCCACCATCGATATGCATCATCTTGTAAATGTATTGAAATATATTGTAATTTTTCCTCATCATTCCATTTTGCCATTTTAAAACGTTGTTCTAATTTTTCTAACCAATCATGAACATCATCTTTTGAGCCACGAATATATGTTGGTTTTTTAATAATTTCATCGGCAATCGTTTGTTGTAAATATGATATAGGTAAAAAACTTGGAGCAGTAATTGACGGTTCAGCCGTCTCTACCGGAATATTATTTTGTTGTATTGATGATGTAAATGAGTATTGTTGAAGAAATAATTTACTAAATAATTCAAAACTGGTGATTAAATCAATATGTTCTACGTACCACAAATAAGCTTCATCAATTAATAAAAATGGTATAGCTTGAACTTGGGCTATGTCCTAATTGCGACCAAAAATTAAGCCAATTAAGAAAAAAGTGGTCGCAATTAGGAACACAAAAATTTACGTTGATCTCATTTTTAATGCGTTTCCGAATTGCGACCACTTTTATTAATTAGTTATGCACATAATAGATTATGAGTTCTGTTCTATTGATAAAGTTTATATATAGTCGTGAGAACAAGAACAAGCACAAAAACGAACAACAAGACTAAGAAAAGGAAGATATATAAAAGATTATAATAAACTTATGTTAGCAAAAAAAAGTATCTTCAAGATAAAATTTTTAGTGACTATCAAAAAGTTTTACGAACTATTTCTCATCGTTATATCGATATTATAAAAGATGCCAAAGATACTAGTGATGAAGAATAAATTTTTTGTTATCTGTTTGTTTTGTTAATAAATATTGTTTTCAATCAAACTGTTGATTAGTAGCTAACTAATAAAAGTGGTCGCAATTCGGAAACGCATTAAAAATGAGATCAATGTAA